ATGGATATACTTTGGAACCAAAGCGTAGAACATCTAACACCTTATCTGCAATTGGATTTGAAACATTTAAAGCTATGGAAGACAGGTTGTAACCTTTCAATTTCTCTTGTGTGGGTCTCCCATTTCTCTGTCTCTCTGCTCATATAGTTCATAGAGTTCATTCTCTGTGTGTAGACTGGCTTTCTTTGATTTTTCATCCACATAGTGAAAGGCAGTTGCCTCAAAGAACCTACATCTCCTCACCTACGTTGACCAGCAGAGACTGCATTCCACTAACACCTTCCTGGGGAAGGGAATATGATTGGCCAGTTGAGAGGTGGCTGACCCCCCTGGTAGAACAGGGTCTGGCCAAGAGGGTGGGTAGAAGTATGGCTACTAGAGCCCACCATGTGGTTGGGGGCCAGTTCTTGGATAAGGAGAGGATTTTGTAAGCTGGGAAGTTACTATAAGGGATCAACCCATTAAATACCTAGAAGGATCTGGATGTGTCAGTGAGTAGCTATCTGGATAAACAGAGAAGCTGAAAGCAGGAGATGTGTTCATTTTAAGCCCATAATTCCCGTATTTACTTTTAGGGGACTCTGTGAGTATAACCACAAGCAGCCACAGGCAGTGTGTAAAAGAGGATGAAATGATAAATGACAAATGTGTTAAAGAGGATGAAATGGTAAATGACAAATGTATTCAGTGACGTTACCAATGTTATATCAAATTATAAATCTCAGAATCATGGTCCTGCTTTATACATCATGAGATTTTGAACTAGCATCTTAGCAACTAATTAAATATTGTATCAGAAGAGATGCCTGATCACCCTAATTTGTCCTTTTTTTAAGCATTATATTTTATTTCAATCAGAGAACCATCCAACGTAGCAAGTGCTCAAAAAAAAAAATATAGTGGACCATGATCTCACTGGGATATATGGGTTTTTCAGGTGCTTTCCAACCATGTTTTCATATTTCTTGTCCTTAGTTTTACAAATTAATGCCTTTTAAGTTAAACTTTAAAACACTCATAAACTTTGACTTTTATTTTTTGAACTCTTGATCAATAAGAAATAGCAATTTCTGGTAATTAAAAAGAGAAAAGAAATGAGTGTCTGAGACATGAGGGAATTTGGAGCCAGCAAGAACACAGGATTATCTTCCACAGATTTTCTGTGGGCAGGAGGTACTTGATATTATGTGTAATGCCCTTTGCCCCAGAATTCCAATCTTGAATGATTTTCCCCAGACCCTCATAGGTGAGTGCTTGCGAGATTGAAGTACAAGTGAGAAGATGCAGAACACTATCCACAATGATGTAGAATCACCAAGAAGTTGTGTGGTTATAGTTTAATACTGGACCTCTGATGTTTGTGTCAAGACTTTGTAATAGAAGATTTAGCCTAATTCAATCAAATTTAAAACATCTTAGAAATAGGAGACTATTTGTCCTTTGAGATATTTAAAAATGCACTTTTACCAGTTGCGGTGTCAAGATACAACTTTACCTGTTTTAAAGCAGTGTTTTCCAACTGATGGTGTATGGTATTGAGGCAAAGAAGCAAAATACATCAAGGAAATAAACATTGCCAAGGTTATGATTAAAATGACACGTATCCCTTTTTTATTTCATTTCTTTTATAGATTTTTGTGCTGAGGACTCATTTATAGGGCTTATTCTATTTTGGAGACTCTCTGTAATTTGTGTATTATAACATATACATCAAGGCTTCTTATCACACAGTGTTTAAAAATCAGTGAGTCACTTTTTATTCTCTGGTATGTTGCATGACTGTGGTGGGAAGAAAGAAATATAATGCTTTCAGGATTATAGCATTTAAGTTGGGGTGTTCAGGCATTTTTTTCATTAAATACTAGTATTAGGCAGTTTTTGGTAAATATCTACAGAATGATGGGAGTTCAGGAAAAGCGACAGCTGGCCCTGAGTTGCCTGCGAAGGAGCCATTGAAGAGAAAAGAGTGGAATTGTTTTTGGAAGGATTTGTTAGGACTTATTTAGGAGAGAGACTTATTTAGGTGAGGCATTGTGGAAGTGAGAAGGCCCAGGAATATTCATGGAAGAGTAAAGTAGGTTATTTTGATTGGAGTGTTGGGGTCCTTGTCAGGGGAGTATGATATGATTGGAAATACACATTGAAATCAGAGGTTTGTCCATCATGAGTTGCCCTATGTTGATAGCAGCATCCGGGTTTGATAGTGTGTGGGAAAGGCTAGACAAGTAAGAGATGAGAAGCAGAGCATTAAGTAGGAAAAACTGTACGAGTTGAACTAAGTGGGTTGCTATCAGAACACACAGGAAGGGGCAAAGGAATTGAGCCGAGGAAGAATGATTAATAGACTTGGGGACTAACTCTTGTATGGATACAAAGGATAAAGGAATGTACCAAAAGGTGGTTCTGAAGTTTTAAATCTGGAGAGCAGTGAGAGTAAAACACTCCGAACAAACAAAAAAGACAGAAGGAGTTACTGATTTTTATGGGAGGATGATTTAGGCTTCAGAATTTATGGTTGATTTTATCAGTAAATTCGTGACTGTGTCAGTGAAATATATGATTCCAAGTCAGCAAATGGAGCTTGAGAGAGAAATCAAGAAAAAATGTGATGGTAAAGGTTTATAGTAAAGGAAGCAATACATGTGGAGGCTGTTTTTTGAAGTTTGGAACCTAAAGACGAAAGGGAAATAAGATTATACATGGAGCATGGGACCAAAGCAAGCCTTTTCTTGAAAAGGAGGAAAGGGAGAAGACATGGCTAGGAATGGACTGACGATGTTGAGAGGTAATAATAGAGGAGACTTTGCTGATGTGGAGGAAAAGAACAATGATCCTAAGATATTAGGGTTTTAAGGATGCTGGTTAGTTAGTTCCTGATCAGTCAATATTTTCTTGCACGAGGCCAGTCATTGAATTTTAGGACAAGTAAGTACCTCAAAAGAATTACTTGGCTTAGCGTATTTCATACTTTGGTATAAAACTATCCCTCTGTCATATTGGTGTTAAAACCAGTGAAACCAGTGCATTTGTAGACATCTTTCTGTGGTATATCAGCTTGATATTCTGTTCTGGTTTACACAGATTTTTATAAACTTCATTAGCATCGGTGTCAAATCTACAAATTGAGTCCCTCCGTTGAGTTACTAATGTAGGGACCCAATATTCAATATTCTCCCTGACTCTTGGGCAGTTTGGGTGATGTATTCAGAGAGATGGTATTGTCATCATATTACTTGATCAGCATGTTGACTAATATTCCAGTGGCCTCGTGAATTTTTAAAAAAATGACCAATCTGTTAACATGTTTTACAATTTGCCAATGAAATCTTTATTTCACAGAAAATGAAATAAAGTCCACTTATTGCCACCCACAGCCACACTCATCAGCCGTTTTACGCTTTTGGTGAGGATGGAGTGTCATGGGGAAGAGTCGGGGCTCCAAGGTCACGGGGGCCGTTATGCTATAATTATAAGAACTTAGGCTTGTTGCATGTCTTTATGAAGACTGTTCCTTAGAGCATTTTAAGGTTCGCAGCGAAAATGAGGGGAATGTTCAGAGATATCTCATTCGCTTCTGCTCCCCCGCGCGCCTCTAGGCTCATTTCTAAGCACCACTAATGCACTGTCGTCATCCCTAAAATTCAGGTTGTAACTCTTACCTCATAGATTTCATGATTGAGGAAGATCATGTTTTTAACATGTCTGACATTTCATAAGTACTCTGTAGTGGACATGCACTCATAGTAAAGCCACAATTGCTTTAAAACTTACTTGGGGGAAGCATTCTGTTTATAGAGTGCATTAGAAGTGTGTTTTGATGATAATGCTTAATACGGCCTTCAGGCTTTCATTGAGTGAATGAATGAATGTATACATTCCTGCAGGAATAAATAGTTCCATGGGATCTCTAGGTCTCTGAAAAGTTTTAACTGAAGTCCTGGGTAGAATTGTTTGCCTGTTATAGGTACTATATGACTTGATATCTTAAATGTGGTGATTGTGGAAATGAGTTGAAACACTTTAGTCCAGGTTAGATGTTCTTAGGAACTGTGGTGACTTCTGTTCTAGACCTGCTGCTTCCTTTGACAAATGTGGGGACTTTTGAGAACTCTGGTCTTCAGAACCTCAGAACAGTTGATTTTTGCCCAAGCCCCACCCCCTGAGGCCCTAAAGTGCATTGATTTTATAAGCAGGGCCCACTGGCAGTAGTGATCAAAAGCTGCTTTTTTGTTTGTTTGTTTGCTGCTTTGAAGCTCTTAAGATGAGTAGTGGCCCTAGAAATCAGTTGTAGATCAGGACCTCTTAGCCTGCTGTGGCCCATGGCAGCTCTGAGCAGGTAGGGTTGCAGCACTTACCCACTGTGCCAAAAGAGCCTCGAGTCCAGTCAATCCACCAGGGTTCACTGTGCACTCGGGAACCTCTGCTGAGCCTCATTTCTGTATATGATCTGAGAATCTATGGGGTAAAATTGTGTGCTTTGTAAGTGTGCTAATACATCTAAATGGATTAGCTCCTTGCTTGCAACATAACAAGCCCCCGATAAATATTACGGCATTGTTGCTGATGCTGCTATAATTTCAGATAACCAATGATTAAATTATGACTACAGGGAAATGTTTATTAACTCAGTGCCTGGCACATAGTAGACCCATAATAGAAAGGTTCCCCTCAGAGAATTTGAGATCTTGCTCATATGTGTCAGCATATGTGTCAGTTTAGCTCAAATATACTTTTATTAAGAAAGAAAAAGTTCCCTTTACCCCTTTGTTCAAATGCCCGCCACACCCTTTCCCTAGTTTAGGAATAGACAGAAAATAGATGGCTTTCTAGATATAATGTCTCTTTCCTCAGATCTACCACTAGAAACATGAGTAGCTAGGTTAATATACTTCTGGATGTCAGGGATGAGAATTTAGAATTAGGTTTTTATGGTTTAAAATTGCTTTTCCTAAAAACAATATCATAGATATGTGTATTAAATTGCATATCTGCTTGTACAGATGCTGTTGACTGAGTACTTGGACATGAAAAACACTCGTACGGCCTCTGAACCGTCAGCTCAACTAAGTTATGCCAGCACTGGACGAGAGTTTGCAGCCTTTTTTGCCAAGAAGAAACCTCAAAGGCCAAAAAATTCTCTTTTCAAGTAAGTGGCTCCCTGTTGGCAATATAGCAGGTGCCAAGAAGTGTTAGATCCAGGTAGGACTTTCTGCTTAGTTGTGGGCCATCACATCTCCTAGTTAAATTTGACTTGAAATAATTTATAGGAAGTGAACATATTTTTATTGTATATTTTGTATATTTTTATTTTCTGTAAGGGGAAGTAGTTATATTGGAATGTGGTTACTGGACTATCTAGAACTTTTTAAAATATTTCAGGGATTTATTTCTGGGGAGTTTTATATATATTGGAGGGAAATTAAACTCTCCAGTTGTTTCTGGGGAATTTATATGAAATGAAAAGAAATGTAATATCTCAGCCCTTGAAAAACCCCAAAGTGCCAGGAAACAACCTTTGTTAATAAAGTTATGTAAATCTCTGTAGCTAAGTAATATTGGGTTTTGTTTGATATAATAAAGAAACAATCTGCAAGTCCTTTTTATTCTAATTATTACTATCTTAGGTAACCTGCCTGGCCAGGTATCCTAAGTATATGCCACTTGGTAACAGTAAACAGTTATGCAATTATTAGCATTGATAATAACAACACCAATAACAACTACTATTGATTGAGAACTTACCGTTATTTCCAAACACTATGTAGATAAGTTTCTCGAAATAATTGCAATTAAACATAACTCATGTTATATCAAATTTCAGCAGCTAGAGTACTGGCTGACACTGAGTCCTTACTACGTGCTAGCCAAGGCATTAAGCCATTTTCATGGGTTATCTTATTCACTCATTATGACCTTGTATGTGTGGGTTCTATTTTTACTCCTCTTTTACATGTTAAGAAAGAAAAAAAAATACACAGCTGAGGCACAGGAGAGGTTAGGTAACTGATGGGAGTTCACACAGCTAGCAAGCGCTAGAGGCAGAATTTAAGTCTTGGCAGTCTTATGTGTTCTTTAGAAGAGTTAATAGATTTTTAAGAAGTTGTATTTGTAAATCTAAGCATTTCAAGTGACTACAGAAGTATCATCATGGTTTTTGGAATAGCTGAGGCTCCAGTATCCTTTACTGATTGACTTTTGAGATTTTGTTGTTGTTGTTGTTGTTGTGGATTCATAGAGTTCTTAATCGTTAGGGAAAGTTTCAGCAGTTCATTTACCTTGTGGCCTAGAGAAGAGATTTACTGTGCTCACAGTGGGATAAAATCCATTCTGTTTATTGAATGTGTTCCTTTTTTTCTTTTTGCACTTTTATTCAGAGGTTAGTTGGAGTATCAGTAAAAATGCTCTCATCCACAAATAACGCAGAACCTCAAAGGAGCTACAAGTGGGTAAACCAGGTGGAAGTTTCTGTCTCACACATGAAGGATGGGTGTAGAGGATCCCTTAACCCACCAGTAGCAGTGGGGACCCCGCCCTTTCCCTTTCTCTGCTTTTGTCCCCACTCAAGTAAAAATGGTGATGCCGAAGAAATAGGGTGTGATTCTTTCTGTAAATCTTTTCTTTTTTAATTAGTAGTCTATTTTTTATAGCAGTTTTAGGTTTTTTGAAAAATTGAGCAGACGGTACACAGACTTCCCTTATGTTCCCTCTCCTACAACTTCCTCTGTTAACATCTTGCATGAATGTGGTACATTTGTTGCAATTGATGAGCCAATATTTGTACATCATTATTAGCTAAAGTCCATTGTTTACATTATGGTTTACACTTTGTTTTCCACAGTTTTATGGGTTTTGAGAAATGTATGGTGTCATCTATCCACTGTTACGGCCTCATACAGAATAGTTCCATGGCCCTACACACCCCGTTTTCCACCTGTTTATTCTTCCTTCTTTTCCTTGCTCACTGAACCCCTGACAATGACCAACGTTTTTACTGTCTCCTTAGTTTACCTTTTCCAGAATGTCTTTCATAGTTACAATCATACAGTATGTAGGCTTTTCAGGCTGTTTTTTTCCACTTAGCATTATGTATGTAGGTTTCTTTCATGTCTTTGTGGCTTGATAGATCATCCCTTTGTATCACTGAATAATATTGCATTATGTGGATATACCAGTTTTTCCATCCAACTACTGAAAAGAATTTTGGTTGCTTCCATAAATCTACTCTAAACATCCAAGTGCAGGTTCCTGTGTAAATAGAAGTTTTCAACTCATTTGGATAAATACCCAGGAGCATGATTACTGGATCATGCTGTTTAACTCTGTAAGACACTGCCAAACTGTCTCCCACGGTGACTATGCCATTTCAAATCCTTTTACATTTACTTTAAGTTATTGCTGATACATTTATTAATATTTCCTGCCCGTGACAAAGCCCCTCTGCAAGTTTCCCTCAAGAAGACTAGGACTGGGTCTTATGTCCAGTCCTAAACCAGTCACTGGCAGGGCCAGAAGATCACGGCTTGCCGTAAACCAGTTAGGTTTCTTCTCTGGTGATGGGCCTCCTGCTGGACGGAGAGCCACTGTGAATAGGGAGCAAGGTCGCGGGACACCCAGGGAGAGCGGGAGCCGTGTGGGCAGGCAGGAAAGGCCAGGAAAGGTGGCGGCAGGAAGTTGGTAGAGACGCGGAGACGGCCTCAGGTGCTGCTTGTTAGGCCTCCCCTCCTGTCTCCCCGCCCATCCTCCCATTTAAATGTAGGTGTGTTGCCGAAATCAAGCGTCAGGGTTTTTAGATTGCACACTCTGAGCCACCGCCCCAAATTTACAGCCTGAGACAACATATCCATTTTCAAACATTTAGCCAATCCTGAAATTGTGGTGTTGGAAAGCATATAAACCGTTGGAAATGAATAAATGACCTTAAATAGTTGTTACGCATTTATTAATGTTGCATAGAAACAAAAAAAAACAACCCATCACCTGCACAGAATTAGGCCATCACTACACATCTGCCTTTTCTCGTCCTGGTTCCGCCGTTGTTGAGCCCGGTGCCCAGAGCAGGTCTCCCGTCTGGAAGGCCTCGAGCCTGTGCTGTGAAATGAGGAGGTGAGACCGAATCATCATGGTGCCCTTTTTACTGTGAAAGTGTGACAATCTGGTTCCAAACATAAAAGGGTTTCCAAGTAGCAAAACACATCAGGTCATAAAGGATTAAGATTTTGGTAAACTGTAATCTGTTTTTATCACACTCATGAAAGACTTTATTGCTCTCTCTAATTGCCCCTAACCAAGGTTAATTAAGTGTGCTTAAGTTCTCTCATGTTGTGTAGTGCGTGCCTCTCCATTCTTTGCTCAAGAGTTTGTTTTTCCCGTGTCACTTCTGTCCCATAGCTGTCAGCATGCTTTATGGAGGTCAGCGGCTTCTTTTTCCTACTTGTCAGGCGGGTGGCACTTTAAGCCCTGGACATGCGGCCTCCCTTCTGGCTGTAAGTGCCCTCTTAGCTCTCAGCGGGGTGCAGAGAGAGGAACAAGCGACCCAAGTATTTCCCTCAGACTGACATTCATCTTAGTGTTCGTCCTCATTGCCGAGGAATGGGTAAAGAAGGCGTGATTAAGAAAATGACGGCGCTCGGTCCTTGTTGCTAGAAACCTGTTCCGTTGTCACTCTTGGTCTTCCATTATGCTGCTGTTTACCCCTCGGTGGCAGTAATTCTTAGAAGACTCTCTCCCACCAGCCTGTTAGTCTGACGTTGAAGGTCGCAGGTTTGAAGTGGAACTTCTGAGCACATCAGAGGATTTTCTGTTTGAGGGAGTCATAATATTAACTGGTTTTTTTCCCCTTAGCTACAAGTTTATCTAAAGATTGTGATTTTTTTTTTGGTATTATTATTTTAGATTTTAGAGACCTGTTCTAAATCACAAGCATTCCCCCATGTTCTTGACTTGAAACAGCTCCCGGGTAGGCGCAGACAGGCACTCTGTAGGTGGGAGGCGGCAGGGCCAAAGCCTGGCAGCCCTTCCGAAACTGTGCTGTTTCCAGGATTTTAAGGAGAGACCAGAGACACCTTGCTTCTGCGGTGTAGCTAACCAGCGGTATGCCTAATGTGTCCTTTGTCCTAGTCCTCTAACAGAGGGACATGGAGAGGCAAGATGTCTGCTCTGAGAAGCCAGGACTTCTGCGGTGACAGCTGGCAGTCACTGATGGCTCTCGAGCTGGACAGGCAACGTGTAACGACGTTATAAGATACTCCTGTTGCTGTGTGTGTATAGGGATCCTGGCAGAGGATCTGGAGGCAAAAGAAAGTTGCAACAAGTCAGAGTTGTACCAGCTAAAATGGAAAATGAGCAAAAGATCCAAATACTGTTGTGGAGGAGTGTTAGCCAGGACCCCCATTCACACACCGAGGGTGCTGGCAGCCTGCCCCTGGCCCATCATGGACCATTAGGGAGTATCACACAGATTGGACTAGACTACTTTTGGAATGCGTAGACGGACACTGCCTCTTTGGTTGCCACCTAACCGTTTGTTGACCCTGCTTTTCATTGCAGGTTTGAGTCATCTTCCCACGCCATCAGCATGAGTGCCTACTTGCGGGAGCAGAGAAGGGAGCTCTACAGTCGGAGTGGAGAACTCCAAGGTGGGTGGCCGCCTTTCTCTGGGAGACCTGAAGTGTGTGGCATGTGAATGTGAGGTCTGAATTCACAGGATTCTTTCAAGATAGCAGAGATTTAAAGACTTGATCATCTGTTTCTCCCTTCATTTCCCAGCATCTGTTGACAAGCAGCTAAAACTACTACTGTGGCCATAGGACTTATAGACCTGCTACCATTCTAGTGGGAACTCAAAGCAAAAAGAGATGCAGTTAGTCTCTTCTAGGCTTAAAGATGGGCCCTGCCGTAGTCGGGCGACACCGGTCTTCCGTGGCTGCCACTGTTAACTTTCATTATTGTTGTCAGTACCTCCTGGAATCTGTCAAGAGTATCTGAGATTTGGAAAAAGGCAAATGCGGCTTCTGCCGTTATTTAAAGGGAGGAAGGATTTCTCTAATCATTGTGTTCTAATCAATATAACTTTGATACACAGGATATTTGATACCTACATATGGCTACTAAACAATGATGATCTGAAGAAAAAATACACAAGGAAATAAATTACAAGTAAATTTAATTAAATAAAAATCAGACCAATAACATTTCATTTTGTGACAAAAAGAACCTAATCATGGTAAATGTAATCAATTAAAGATTTGTGAGGGCCTGTGAAGGGCAAAACATCTTACGCATTGGAAGGGATGGAAGTCAACCACAAGGAAGTAAAAGATAATGATCTAAGATTCAGTTATGAAATTAAGGCAGAGATGTCAGTAACAATATCAGAGAGTAAATACTAACAACTAAGTAGATGGTGAACATAAAATTGCCGTACAGGAGTTGAGGGAACGAATGATTATTTACATTATTTTAGGACTGTAGGCTTTCTCATAGGAGATGGATACGAACGCTTCCAGTTCTGATGCACTGGAGGCACTTGGGATATTTTGAGGTGACGAGCCTGTACAATTAAATATTTAGTTTAGTTATCAGAATGAAAAACCTAGACATGTGTTTGAGGATATAAGGAAAAGGAAGTCAGCCTACCAACATTTATTTCATATTAAACTGTTGCTGTATGTTCTGGAAAACATGAAGTATGTGTCTTAGAGTCTTGAATTACAGGAGGCAGAGAGTGAGGATTGGAGCAAATGATGGAGCAACCCTCCTTGCGGTTACACAGGGAGGGTGGGAGGGGCGTGACCCAGGCTCCAGCTGGCAGCGACCGCCCACGAGGGCAGGGTGGGCGGCAGAGCTTGGAAGGGAGAGCGACAGAGCACCCATTCTTGTAGTTAACTGCCACTTGCCGGAGCAGAGGGGGTGCATAACAGATCCTCTAAGGTTGGAGGTGTCCTCCATACTCACAGTGTCCTCATATTAATTTCAGAGTTGGCTTAAGAATAGTTCAAATTTACCTTCATAATTTCTCTTCCCCTGGCTTCTAGTATATAAAACTCCTTTAATGGGAACAAGGAAACATCTTGTTTCTTTGTAGCTTAGTCCTGACAATCTCACTTTTTTATTAATTAGTCCATTTAATTGTTTAGAGTAGTTTTAGATGCACAGCCAAACTGAGTGGAATGTGCAGAGAGTGCCTGGGTGCCCCTTCCCCACCCCTGACTACCTTCCCTGCCACCAGTGTCCTGCTTCCCCACGAGCCCTTCGTTTGACACCTAGAGACGCAAAGGTAGATCATGCAATTAAAGAGACAGCAGTGCAGCTTGTCACTCATCGCAGGTCTGCATCAAAGTGTTTTATGAGGTAAACAGCCAGCTTTCTGGATTTAAAGACCCTTGCCCAGCCATTCCTACATCCACCTTCATTATTAATCTAAATGCCTATAAATTTTTTAAAGATCCTGCTAAGCGCTCTCGTGGTTATATCACAGTAATAATTCCAGAGCTCCTACATACAGTTATGAGAACGAAAAGCCTAGAAATATGTTTGAGAATGTAAGGAAAATGAGATTAGCCTACCAGCGTTTCATTTCATGTTAAAGTGTTGTTTTATGTTCTAGAAAACGTGAAGTGTGTATCTTGGAGTCTTGAATTACAGGAGACAGACATAATTAGTCAACAAGTATACATGACTGGTGCTAGATTCTCTGATAGATAATGAGTAAGAATAGTGAACACTGTGTGGTAGCCATGTGGAGTGATTCTTTTTTTAAAAAATTTAAGAAATTTTTATTGTTCAAATACATTTGTCTCCCTTTTTCTGCCACCACTTCCCCTGCCCCATCCACTCCCATCTCCCACCCTCAATCCTTCCCCACTTTGCTTTTCCCTTTATACGTGTTCCTTGACTTGACCCTTCATGTGGAGTGATTCTTAGTTCTGTTGTGTCCCCTACCCCTTCCCCCAGCCTCCCACCACGGTCCCCGATCTCCTGAGACACAGTAGCAAAGCAATGAAGAGCAGAGGGTTCTGGACCCAGCTTGCCTACATTTAAAATGCAGCTTCCCATTTACTAGCTTTGTAACCTCTGTGCCTCTGCTATCTCCAAATGGGGACAGAATAGTACTTATCCCATTAGGTTGTTTTGAAAGTTAGGTAAGTTAAGCTGTGAATAGTGTTCGGAAAAGTGTCGTTGTACAATAAATGTTCTGTCTTCCTCTTTCTCCTCAAATATTACTGTAGTTACTAGTGTTGTCTCTTCAGAGTTTTCATATGCATTCTGTTTCTCTGCCTGAATTCTCCTCAGCTTTCCAAAGTAAATTTAGTTATCCCTTATTCTGCAGAACTCTCCTTCCCCGAACCTAACGCACATGCACACACATGCACACACGGTCTCTCCGACACGCTGAGGCCCAGCCTCTGCTGTGTGCTCCCTTCTTTAACGTTCCCTTTCTGATTTGTTGGAGACACTCACTTGTTGGAGTGTGCCACAAAACTGTAAGCTCCATGAGGGGAGTGCCATTTTACTTCCTGTTCTTAGCTCAATGCCTGGCATAGTAAATGTTCAAAAAGTACCACTGACTCGGCGACGGGAAGAAGGAAAGCTGAGGTCTGAGCCTCTCAGCTTCGTAGGCTCCTTTAGTTCTTAAGTTGAAGAAGCAGAGGGTATGTGTAGATGTGTCTTTGTTCTCTGCAGTTATATGTAGCTTTCCTAAACAGGAATGTTGTCCTTCAGCCTGGCCTAGGACAGCTCTGCTGTATGTAATTGAAAAACATTTTAAAATTCAACTAAGGTACAGAGGACTTTCATTCTGTGAGGATGGCTAATTGAAGAATCACTATAATCTAACTAGGGACTTTCCCATCCTTCAAAACTTAATTGAAATATGGAACTTTGAAGCAATAGTCTGTTGTGTTTACCAGTGTTCAGCAAAATAGGAAGATTTATCTTTGGTTACAAGGGGAGAAAGTAGTCATCACACATACCATGCTCAGAATAATCATTAAGAAATAATTTCGCTGAGCTGACACATCACATGCTTGGTGAGAGAATAGATCAGCTGACCGGTATTTGTGCAAGATGGATGGTGTTTCATTTAGGAACAAAAGTTTCTCTGATGAATGCTTTTCCCATTTCAGCAGGAAAAGAGGGTGGAGGGAGTCACACCTATGTTCCATGAAAAATGACCATCCTTTTCAGTTATTCTATTAATCTGACTGGTGCAGGGCCCGCAGTGAGATCTGCATTTCAGCTTATCCTTGAAAAAGCACAGTTGAATAGTTCCCGTCAAATCATAAGAGACAGGCAGACGATCTTTGTCTCCAAAGGTGTCGTAGCTGCAGGCTTTGCCTCCTACTGGTTTGGTTCATAGGGTCACCTTTTCCTTCTGTTGCAGGCAAAGCGGTAAAGAAATCCACCAGAAAAGACCATCAAAGTAGCATTTAAAAAGCTCCAATTTTACAAAAGTGAAGTTCCTGCCAACACTTTCAATTTATCATGCAATTTAAAATGTTACTCAACGTAACAGCACACAAGGGGGAAAAAAGAATGGGGAAAAAAAAAGATTTCTTTGGTATCATCAACCCATCTCAGTTGGCTCTGTTGTGGCACAGATGGTTCATTATATAGTCTGCCATTGGCAATTGGGCTGAGGAGGTGGGGATGCTATTTCAAAGCGTTCGAGATAACAGGTGGAAGTCGAACTTGTGTGTGTGTCTACGTTAATCACAGACTTCCTGTTGTTCTGAGCCTCTCTACTGCTTCATTGTAGTGCTTAGACAGCCGTGTTATAGGTTAGAAAGATATTAGTTTTAATGAACATTTAGCTTGAGTATAGGTTCTCAGGTTTAATGTGCAATTCTCCCGCAGAATAGTATAACTGATGAACACATTATCTCATGAGGTTTAAAAAAAATCAAAATACTGCCGGTCATGACCGGAATGAGCTCTGAGGCTATTCAGCCCCACTGTGCCTCCATTTTCTCATTTGAAAAATAAAGCTGTTATGAGTTCTGACCACTTTAGGGGAGTATTGTTAATATAAAATTAGACATTAAAACCCTGGAAAAATTAGAATAGCTGGAATTGATTTAAATTAAAGCAGTGCTTTTAAAAACTTATCATTGTGGAATTAGGAGAACTGTGTCCACTTCTTGGTCTCTCATTTTCTTACCCGCTGTTCTCCCTGCTGCATTGCAGTTGGCTCTCCTCAAGGTCACCTGTGACCTCCATCTTGGCTGGGTCAGCATTTGCTTTACTGTGCACATCTTGCTTGATCTGTCAGCAGCTCTTGTTTTTTCCTTCTCATATTCATTCTGTCTTCTCAAGCGCTCTTAAAAGTAGCTCAAGGTTTGCTCCTGAGATCTTTCCTCTGCTCACTCTGTAGACTCTCCCCAGGTGATCTCAGCTGGGACCAAGCTTCACTTAGGGCCGGGGAAGGATGGCTTCCAGGTCCAAGGCTCCTGCCCAAATCTCATTACTGCTCCCTGACCTTTCCCAGCATCCTATTCCCCAGCCCCATCCTTTCATTCTTTATCCCAACATGTTTTTTATTTTCCTTACACTTTTCTTGATTTGTACATGTCTTGTTAAATCGTTAAATTTCTACACTTTTCTTAGAATATCCGGAATGCAAGCTTTACTCAGTAGT